GTAACCTGGTAGATCATCGTGTTCTACACAGTTCAACGTTGCATTTGAGTCTCCCCGCGCTGCCTCAATACAACTTGATTGGATAGCCGTTATCTCAACCAGAATTATTCTCTTTCTCTCCTTCTCATAATTAATTCTGTGTAATATTCAAATAGGGTAAAGAGGGTAAGGAAGAGGTTGTTGGTTATTGGTAGTTGTTTCTAATTAAGAATGCGCGCCCACTTCACTTTTCTTGATCACTGAACTTCTTTTCTCTTTATATATAAAACACCCCATTTCAAGATCTTGTCCTTAATTTGCATGAACACTATATTGTTTTCAATTTCGTTGTTAAATAATGGATTTCTTGAAGGAAATGGCATGCAAAAGAATCCATGATCGTTCAGAAAACACGATGATGTCCGAATCAAGGAGGAGAGTTGTTTGGGTCGATGGCCCAGTAATCATCGGTGCCGGGCCGTCCGGTCTAGCCACGGCAGCTTGTCTTAAAGAAAAAGGCATTCCAAGTTTGATTCTTGACCGGGCTAATTGCATAGCTTCTCTTTGGAAACTCAAAACCTACAACCGGCTTAGGCTCCACCTTCCCAAGAAATTTTGCATGCTCCCTCTACTGTCATTTCCTCCAATTTACCCTAATTATCCAACCAAACAAGACTTTGTGACCTACTTGGAAGCCTATGCTCGACACTTTAACTTGGAGCCTGAGTTCAACCAGACGGTTGTGAGTGCAAGATTTGATGGATTATGGCGGGTTACGACGGTCGGGATTAAAATGGAGGAGAGGGAATATGTGTGCCAATGGTTGATCGTTGCCACAGGCGAGAATGCCGAAGAGGTAATACCGGAGTTTGAAGGCATCGATAAATTTGTTGGGCCGATAACTCATTCGAGTTCTTACAAGAGTGGGGATTCGTATCGAGGAAAAAGGGTTTTGGTTGTTGGAGGTGGGAACTCTGGCATGGAGGTTTCTTTGGACCTATGCAACTGTAATGCTAGCCCGTCACTCGTGGTTAGGGATTCCGTAAGTGCCAAACCACATCATTTAAAAGTTTAATTTGTTAGTCTTTTAATACGTTCTCCATGTCAGCGACACAGTGTTCTCGTTATTTTTTCTTTAAGAGGTTTTATTTGGGCATAATTTTGATAAATGGGCGACGAAAGATAGAATATATTGATACTTACTAAACATTGTTATCTAAAATATTAAGGCGTTAAATTTTTTTCAAATAGACTGAAACCTAGAAACACATTTGTGACCATATACACCTTTGTTGAAAAAGTTTTCCATTATATTTTCAACTTTCTTGGAATCCGGTTCCATGCGTTGTACTTGTGCAGAAAGTATGCTCCAAATTTCATGCTATTAATTAAAAGTATGAACCCTAATTTTGAGGGCCTCTATTGTCTCATTTCTGTAACATCGTGAGGGAAGTAAATTGTGGAATGTGCTCAAGCAGGCCAAGGAACAAAATCTTGCCTTAGTTTCATGCTATTAATTAAAAGTATGGAAAAATATATATGTATAAAAATTGGCTTTAGTTCAAAATTTTTCCTGTAAAACTCAAAATTAATTATTTCAGGTGCACGTTCTGCCTCAAGAGATGTTTGGGATTTCAACTTTCGGGCTGGCCATGAAATTGCTACGATGGTTCCACGTCAAGCACGTTGATCGATTTTTACTTGCGATTTCGCATTTTATGCTTGGCAACACCGCCAATGTTGGACTCAAGAGACCA